GCACATCTATGCCAAGGATACCAGTACCTGACTTTTTTTCGAGCCGGCTTTTTAATTTTGGCGAGATGTTGTACGTGTGTCATGCGATTTTTGCGAAACTGTACGCGACATTGATAAACGCGCGTTCACACTGGTGCGACAATATACGAGAGATCGCCACATTTCGAGATGTATTTTACCGTTGCTGCCGACCTGCGAGGCCAGATTTACGTCTTTTTACGCCTTTATTTTTGATTATTTATGTTTTACGCCTTTAATGTGTTTCCTTCAGTTTTCAATAATATTTTCCTTGCTCGTACAAGCAGATGCAAATAGCAACTCATCATCCGCGTAAAAAGAAATGCATATTTTTCTCGCGCTCCACCGATCGCAAAGAGCTGCCCGACTAATCTTTACAGCACTAGCCATTTTCACCGAACGATCTCACGCATGCGATCGCACGTGCGCCTGAATAAGGAATAAAAGAAGATACTAAAAATACCCGGCTATTGGAGTGTGTATTATCGGACAAACTCACCGCACATCTGACTCAGTGCATATAACTGCAGTCAGTTCAGTCTACAAATAGCTCGTTAGCTTCTGCACAAAGGCAATTAAGACCTACTTTCCTCTCTGTGAACGTGCAAGATCCTGTCGACCGTCTTTAAGTCAAAAATTTACGTCCACTCGATACACACCTTCGCGTACATCTGACGCGCGCCATTATAAGTCGGAAGCGAGCCTCCGTGCTTCTTAGTATCGTAGTCACGAGCAAACCCGACGATGTTATCGTAATTACGTGCTGCTTTCAACGTTCCTTCTTCACCGTTCAATGATCGGGCCGTGTTTTGGGACCGACAAAAAAAGGTAATCGAGAGAAAGTATCATCCTATCCTTCACTTTTCTTTTTATCGACGTGAACCAAAGAAATGATTGGGAGAAAAGAAATTATGTTGCGCTTTTGTGATCGTTGTGAAACAGTCCTCCCGCGTGTGTGAACGTAAATTGCGTAACGAAATTTTGCTTACTCTTTTTTGTATTCCTGTACTGGACCTCACTGAGTTTAGTCATTAGTCACTAGTGCTTTGTAGGATGCCTGTACATAACGTCCGACCTATGACTAACGAAAAAGAAAAAAAGGTGCGCGCGGCGCTAATAAGATCAAGGATTACGACAGCACGTAGGATGACTTCAAGAAAGGAAAATACGCGCGTACCAGAAACAAGTGCTCGCGCGCGCTAGAACAACCTAATAAAGTGAAATTGTGTATAATTTTGTTTATGTCTGAGGCAAGTCGAAAAAAAAAATACACTTTGTTCGCGAGAACTTTACATTGTTTTATCCCCTTTTTATCCCGTACCATTTTCGTAGCTTCTATTGGAAAATTAAACAAAACATTCGCATATTTAATTCAATCAAATTTTTTATCGACTGTACATTTTTACGTTTTCTAATGCTATCAACGTTCCTTTTTTATACGTCAAATAAATTGCTACAACAAAAGATTCCTTCAACGGAATTGCAGACATCAAAACGAATCGCTACTATTTACAGCAGTTGCTTCAAATTCGCACAATCAATTCACACCGATTGTTCAAAAAAAAAACCTATTTTTACTTTCCAAAGTACATCCGAAAAAAAGCAACACCAATGCAAATTAACAGAAAAAGAAAGAAACACAAAGAGTCGGGCGATCGGTAACCTCGATCGATCGGGACGTGCAAGTGACGAACGGTATCCAAATTCTGATGCAAACTAGTAACATTAGTATGCAGTTCGAGCTTTAATTGGAATTTGCCGGCTCCTATAACATGCAGCTGCGTATACATACGTACGATGATTCGCGGGGAAGGGGGAGGGGGAGCTTGCTTTTCTGGTTGACCTGTAGCTGTCAGGGAAGGTGTTGGTAAAAAAGGGCCCGATCAAGACGTTATGTACTCTCGAACTTGCGTAAATCTCGATTTAACTTTAAATATTGTATTTGGATTCGCCGCTTTAAAAACTCGTAATTTTGCGTCGATCGGTTCGGCGAAATCAAGGTTGAAAATTTTATCGCCAACTTAAAAGGAGCGCACACGTGTAGCGAATTAGAAGTGCATTTTGCGAGGACTTATATATATACAAAAGTTTGTACTGTAAAGGCTAACAAACGAACAGCAAACACACACGCACAGTAGCCGAGCGTGAAAATCCGGTTTTCGGTAATTGCAAAATTAAAAAAAAACGATACTCGCGATAACGCGCTTAGGCTCGCCATAATTCACTGTCGGAACATGTAAATCGCTTCATGAAAAAAAATGACGTTTGTAATAGCATACAAACTATCGTATACCTATCACTCGCCTCTCCCTTTTGCGGGCTTTCATCAATTTCGCAACCGGCGAAGCTTTGGAATATTTCGGGTGTATAGAAAAGACCATTACCAACAAGTTCGAAACGGTATGGGTGTATTATACAATCGGTTTATTGCGCAAACGATAATTTTGCACGCGTGTTATTCATGCGCTTGCAAAGCACTCAAATCATATATATACGTGTACAATGTGATTTGCGTAGACTGTAACTTCTCCTTTCGCTTGTAGTTTTGGGCGCTGGAGTTTAGTGAACTAAAGTCAATGCACTCTTTTCGAATTTTGCGCGGGAGAGTGATGCCGTTTCGACGCCGACTATATTTCGCCCTACGTCTATTGTCGTAGCGATGCGCCTGAAATCTGCGAATTGCGTAAATTCCCATTTCTCTTCGCTCGTTCATTAACAAACACTTTAATGCCGATCGATTTGATTTTGCAGTTTGGTACACAGAATTGCTGTGCCATATCTTTCAATGATTCGAACGATTCGTTGCGGAAATAAACAAGTGAACGATCATTCAAATGCCTAAAGCATGAAATGCGACAGCGCGTTCGACGCTTTGAATTGCTCATCGGCTAAGGACACGCATCCTTCTAATAAAAAGAAAAGCATCAATAGCGAATCGCATCGCGACGAGTATATTTTAATTCGCAGCGAAGCAAAGAGAGGAAAAAGAAACGAAAGAAACGAAAGAAACGAAAGAAACGAAGAAAATGCAATTTTGCGCTGACGGCGCGCAAAGAACTAGTTATTTGGTGATTGAGCACGCGCGCGTGCGTACGCACTTCGCGCGCCAGATACACGCAATTAAACGGAGCAGCAAGTATTCATCGCGCGCTCGCTCGTATTGCACAATCTCGCCTGCTTCTCGGCTCGCGCGCGGCTGCACAATGAAATCGTATCGGAGGAAATGGCGGTGCAATAAAAGCCTGCGCCCCGAAATTTCGCAAGCGTCGAGATATCGAACGTTGCTATCGAAGCCTAATGAGCGCTCTCCGTGTGCGCAAAAGTCGTGCCGAACGCGCGAATTTCTCTGGAAACGCGGGCTCATCGAGGCAGGAACGCGAGGCGCCGCGAAGCTCGACTCGAGATGGCAACGACGACGAGCGTCAAGATCGATTGTTTGCGCGCGCACGAACGTCGTACCGATAAAATACAAATAAATCTCCTCGATCTGACCGTGCGATCGAGTGCCATCTCCCGCTTCTTTGCCCTCGCGAACTTGGCGAATTTCGGCTGCGCGAAGCGTGATCGGGTATGGGCGCGTGCGCTTCGCAGCCAAATCGTTTTCTTTTCTGTTTGCATTTCAAATCGAAGCGTGCCTCCAGCTTTCAGTCTCCAGTCATTCCATTTGACATTTACTTTTTTTTCGATGGCTTTTCCAATGGTACATAGTTACAGCGTGTACGTCAATTACGAAGGCTTGAGAATTTAGTGTATCGTAAAATAAATTTCATTTAGAAAGTTATTATATATCACAGGCCATTCTCTATTTTACTGCACTTCACGACGAAACTCAATATTACAATCACTTTGTATTGCACTCACAGCTCTCATAATCAAGGCGCAGAAAAAGGACGTTTCTTACCAACAAGCGAGAAACGTTAAATTTCAAATAGAAAAATACATACACTTTAACGATCTGTAAGCATCTCGTCCGCGACTCTAACAATACTCGTGTTATTTCAGTTATTACTCGAGCGCGAGAAGAGGCCGGTAAAAAAAGGGAGAAACCGGCGCAGGAAAAGAGAAAAAAGACGCCAAGAGAGGAGGAGAGTTGAACGCGGAGATAGCGCAGGGTGGCGAGTTGTGCGAGGCGATGCAAATATCCGCATGTGCACACGCGAGGACGCAATTGACGAGCGACGGCCACCTGGGAGTTTCATTCACAAAACTACGTAATCGCTACTACGCCGCCGTAAACAATAATGCGATAACTTTCGAGGCAGCCGCGCCGATTTCAGTGCGACGATCGATGCTGTTTCCTCTAAGCTGAGATACCTGGCGCGCTCGCAGTTACGCGACTACAACTTCTCTCCGAGCGCGTAGAAAGTTTTTTCTCTCTCTTTCTGCGCTCGTCCGCGAGCGCAATGCGGCGGCTTTCGAGGAAACGCGACCCAACGGAATACAAATATTGGCACTATCCGAAAGCCAGGCTTTTTTACGTCCCGATCGAGCAGCTCGCGAGCAACTCGGCGCATCGAAATCCCTCGTCCCCTTTCATTTTTCTCGTCGGATATTCGTGCAGCAAAGTCGACGCCGACGAGAACGCGCGGCTTATTTGCACGTTCGCTTGCGCAAACATTTCACTTTTCGAAAAAACAATCTCGCGCATCTACGCGCCGGTCGTCCTTCTTCCAGAGATGCGAGATCTCGGCACGGCTAGCGAGCAACGAGGTCGTAAACCTGCGCGCGCGCGGGCATCCTTCGCACTCCGCGGCGCGGCGGCGAATTCAACGCGTACGCCTCGGTCACTGATCTCTCAGACGGACCACCAGCTCTTCGTTGGCCGTCCCTGCGGAAGCCCAATTTTCGGAGCCGGCTATTCTTAGGCGCGGCCACCGCCGCAAACGGTAAACAGAAGTATCAGCGCTAGAACGGCGCAGTTCGGCCAACTACGGACCGACGCTCGCGCGAAACCGGCTGTGAAAACGGGCGCGATCACTCACCGTCTCTTCCTCGAGCGCCGAGGTGCTGCTGCAACTGATGCAGGTGCTGGTAGTAGTGATGATGGTGCAGTATGCACTCGAGATCGCTGCAGTTGAGCATTGCTGCGAGCGCGCCGCGCACTGATTCTCTCGACGACCAGGCTCCAGTCAACTGTCGCAAGAACGACGACGACGACGACTGTCAGAGTCGCACCGTGGGCCGCGGATCAGCCCGCGGCGCATCGCGGCGCACTCGACCAGCACGCTGCGTCTGCTCGCTCCCCGGCGGAGGCCAATTCGGCGGCTGCGCTGCGCGCGCGCTTGCGTCTCCGTGGCAACTGCGCCAGCTCTCGGGCCAAACTGTCAAACGCGAAAGCGGCCTTTCGAGCAGCGACGGCGCCGCGCCGCGCGCAAGGACTCGCGCCACGAGCGGCCGATCGCCGCCGCGCTTTCCCTTTCGCGCGCGACGGCGCGAGGAGAAAGAAGCTCCGGCTGGGCAGCGCCGCGGCAAAAGCTCAGTCCGGGCGTTCGCCGGCGCGAGCCGCTGCTTGCACAGCGACAGCTCGGTATGCGACTGTTGCGCTCGCGAGTGTGGGTCACTGGCTTTCCAGCTCCGGCGGCCGGCCACGCCGAGCGCTCCTCTCGCGGTCGCCGATCACGTGCTCTCTCGCTCTCGCCACCGTATGCCGGCGCACCGACGCGCACGGCGCGCGGCGCGGGCTCTTTCTCTGACGCAAGAGCTTTTACGGCTCGCGCGCGGGCCTGTGCGCGGAGGCCACGGCCGAGCTGCGCCTCCCCGGCGAAAAAGGCCGCCGCGCCAAGGCCGACGTACGCGCGCCAAGGCCGCGCACTGCGTCGCCCGACATTGACCCTCCCGGCCGCCGAGGGCTCGCGGCGAGCCGCTGCGTTTCGCGCCGGTCGAGCCTTCGCGACCGCCCCTCCCCCTCGCCCGACCGCCAGTTCTGTTGCGTAATTCGCGTGACGCGAGAGTTAGAAAGAGGACTTTCGTTCGCGACGGCGGAATTTCACCTGCACATAAAAACATAATGCGCTTTTCTTTTCTCCTCGATCGTTAAAAATTGCGATGGAAAGAAAAGAAAAACAATCTCTTGGAATCCATCAACGAAGCACGAGAAAGCACGGTGCCTCGAAAAAAAGGGGGGAACTAACGCGTCAATGTCGCGTGGAAGTGCGAGCGAAAGTAGAGGCCCGATTCTTCCGCTCGGTCTTTCGTGTGTCGATGTATACGCGCCATATATAATTGGTCGTGGCCAAAGTCATGAAACATACATCAACTCGAAAGTACTTCTCGGGAAAAACCTTTCTCCGAAAGATTTCCAGCTGAACATTGTTTTGGTGATGTAGTTGGTTGGTTTCGACCGGTTTCTACGTTTCATTACGACTGCAGATGAGTCTTCTTTCATGGTCGTGCTTGTTTTGCAATTAACGAGTTTTTCCTAGTTAATTGTGCCAAAGTAAAAAAAAATTTACCGAAGTATTATTGTTCAAGCGTGATTTATTAACAACTGTAATTTCGAAACAAAATTATCTTTTCAGCTCTCAGGCAGTTAAATTCGGTAACATTTCCATAGTTCAAGCTTCATTTTCAGATAAAAAAGGCTTCATACGTGCAATTTTCCTTGTTCTATCCATTCGAAAAACGAGCAGCTATCGACGAAAATAGTTTTATAATACGAGGAGGAAAAAATGTTACTACACTAACGACGTTTTTAATGTTTTCGTGATTAAGTGTCTGAGAGGAAATTCAGCGGATAGTCTTCGACGTTATAACGACCATACGTTAGGATCTTTTTTCTTTTCGTGAAATGTCAATTTCACTACGTCAACTGCACAGTGGACTCGAAAAATGCTTTTGAAAATGTTAAAGAGCCAAGTTCTATGAAGAAATATTTCAGTGTGTCGAGGTGTTGAATGCACAACGGCTTGTAGTTTGAAGCTGGCGGGAAAAAGAAGAGATTATGTCGTGTTACTTCCGAAATTTTTATAATTTATCGCACACTTAGAAAATTATGCATATTGCGAAAGTTTCTTTTTATACAATGAACGCTGTAAAATTATTTTAGCTATAATGAACCAAAATATGAGTAAGTCTTCGATGGTATCGTTATCAAGGTATCAATTGAAAAACAAAATAGGTAATCAATCTACAGCTACTTGGGTGCTGTTTTAATCAATTTGCTACCGCTGCGTTTACGCGGAAACTTGGCATGATTTAGGTACTCGATGCACGCGCACACTCTGAAGTTCTCTTTCGAATCGAAAAGAAGATACAAGCTCGTCCTTGAAATAACAAAACGAAATAACACTTTTTTTCCAACGACTTTTTTGATCGACGATGAAAATCGGATTGTTCGCGGCGTATCGCGCACTGAAGAGTTTTTGACGAGAGCTCGTTTTGTAGGTGCAACTTACATAGCACTGATTTACGTGCAGTAGTGCCATTTTACGGGCTCGTTAAAAACACAATAACGATGCCCGGCTTTTTTCTTTGGACTGTTAGAAAACGTAAGGCACAACAGTCGAATTGCACGAGCAAATGTATTCGATAAGCGGCCGCGCTTATAATTGGAATTTAAAGTTTTTATAATCGGATGTCGCTTATAAAACTTTCAGATTCGAGTTTCTGAATACGAGTTTTCTAATTCTATGCATACGTCGAACTTTCAATCATTTCCGGTATATTTCTTCTGTGAGCTGGACCGATATATTCATAAATATTCAAGAAGCGCAACGTACTCAGACGAAAGTCGTCAATTCAAACGTCAAGGCTTTGGGTGTTGTGATCAATTTGAATATTGCATACATACATACACTTTTTCGATTAATAATTTTAAAAATTATATTGTAACCCGGTTTCGCAGCAAAATCGCGATTTAAACTTTCCAAAGCACCAGATCAAAATCTAAAATTCATCAATGATTTTTCTCAAAATAAATAAAATACGACGTAAAAAGACCATTGTGCACTGATGCACGCATAAAACCAGTTCTCCGATCGGTTTCGACGCAAGCGTATGCAATCAAGGTATATGCATGGAAAACTTGCGCCACACAAAGGTTCCGATTCTTGGCGTCAAGAGTTCCACCCCGCAAAATTAAATTGAAAAACTAGACGTCCTCGCGAGGTGCCAGACGCGTACATCAATGATAAATTTTACTTCCTCCCTTTCTCTTCGTGCTTTGCGTCACGAGTAGCGTGCATTTCGTAATTGTAAGTATTGCCTGGTTGATTTTTAACGCGGGACCTTTGCACTTTTTGCGAGAGCAAGGACAGCTGTCAATAAGAACTTCCGGTTTCATACTTTCGGCGACTGGCTTCTCTTTCGTGGAGAAAAATTTGCCAACAATTTATTAAGTTCATGCAATTTTGTTGAATTTTCCCAAGTACTTGAGCTTGATTGGATCGAGAAAACGAACACAATGATTTTTATTTTTACACTTGTCTTTAATACTTTAATCCTCGGCAGTTGTAATCAGAAGTCGTACACTTTATTAGAGTCGTTGTTTTCCAATCGCATCGAAAGACATGGCGCGTGAAGCAAGCGTTTATTGAATAAGGAAAGCACGAGTTACAATCACGATTAATATCAAATGCTGATTGATCGAATTTACTGCACGACTGCAGGCGGCGATAAACAACTAAATGGTGAAAAAATTGGATTACCGACGGAGAACACGCTTTCAATTATATTTAGTTGATTAACTGCTGTGTCGAACAAACAGATCGTTATTGAAAGGAAATCTATGTTACAAGTTACCCAGTGACAGCCATAAAACGTGTTCCGCCATAATAGACGAATCAATCAGACGAACATGGAGTCAATGAGATAGCGATCGCCGGAACTAAATATACATTCACAAGCAAAAAAGCCTATACTGATTCTTCATAATATTCATTATAACGAGAATCTAGTAATTAAAATCGACCGTGGCACAGTTTCCATCGACAATTTCGATTAGATCGCGTCGAGATTAAAGGTCACGCGAATCGATTGCGTCGAAAAAAATGTATTTACAAAAATCTGATCCGATCAAAATCGATAAAATCGAAAGGATTCTATTTATACTCGATTTCATCTTGATCCATGATTTTTTCTCCTTCTAGTGTATGATGCGTTCCGTATGTTGACAGATTTAGAATATATTTAAAATGGGTTTTTTAATATTTTTGATAGAGTTATGTTTTTTTTTACAAGTTATGACGAAATTTGACCATGTGAAACATTTTGTAAGCGTGGATCAATGACTTACAAGGACCACTACTCAACTGTCGAAATAAATATATCTGTTGATATGTATTTGGCGACTTGTCCAAGGTATTCTTTAATAAAATGTCACGTGGCTAAAATACTATGATGATATTGCTTTGAACACTTAAAGATATGAAGCAAAAAACTAACTTCTCAAATGTTCTCAATATTCTATTCGCATCGTTCTACTTCCCAGCGGCGCACGCAATACGAAATCTCAAAAATTTTCCAAGCATCCAGCACTTTTCGTAACGATAACACCGACTATATCGCCGCAAAGCCTCAAGGCATAATTGAAAATGATTGCCATCCTTATGACTGAAGTATGCGGTGTCCACACTCTTTGAAATGTCCCATGTTACCATTTCGTCGCAAAACACGCTCGTACACATTGGCTCTTGAATAACTTATTTATGTACCGATATCAAGGACGAGTTCTTTATAGTTATTCGACGTCCATAAAACTTTGCGTTTTCTACGTCACAAAAAAAGTATCCGTAAGTACGTTTCGGCGATAAATAATGATTTTTAACGCTTACAAAGTTGCTTTGTCGTGTAATCGCGTACAGTTCTTTGCACAAAATTAGAGACTTTGATTAGGCACTGACTCTGTATTAAAAAGATTTACTGTTAGCGTTAGCGCCAAAGCGCAGAAAATAATGGTGATATTAATTAGAATCTCAAAACCCTGAGAGAACTAAAAAATCTTTATTCTCCAATATCGTTAAAAATATCAAAGCTCCTTGAAATTTTGTCGTGAATCAAGATAATTGATACCACGTATACAGTATTTGCGTACAAGCAACATTATCGTTAAGTTTTTCGATTGACGCAAAAGAAAGAAATATAAACATTCTGATTTATATCTGTAATATTGAGTTGTTCTTTTAAAGTAAATAAATATTCCTTGGGTTAAAACGTCAAAAGAGTTCGAAGTATAAAACCTGAGAGAGCGGAAGAATATGGGCAAATTTTTCTCGGTGAAGAAGGTTGTATACCAGCACGCCAAAGCGAGATTCTTGTCAAAAAGTCAATGATAAAAGTTAATGCCACGCATCATTCGAGTACATCGCTCTTTCGCCCCTCAAAAATTACTTTTATGAACTTCCGCGTGATCTCGCTAATGCCGAGTTCTCCTTCCTTTCGGCAATGACCCACATCACACGTGTACACCTTTGATATATGGGCTCGTACTTTTGCTTGCCAGATGAATCTCTGTTGACATTATTTCTCTCAATTCTTTGTTATTCTCATTCTGATGATTTCATTTTTCGCTTAAGTATTTTGCCTCAGAGAAACCTGATCCTCGAGAGAGAAAACTCTCGTAACAATGAATCAACGTTAAAAAAAACAATAACATGAGTTTAAAGAAAATAACGATTTTTACGTGTAGAAATATTAAGATGTAGACGAAAAAATTGCTTGATAAACTTCTGATCTTTAAATGCTTTCAGATGACTTATCAGTATTAGAAACACATAGATACAATAGTAGTTGGTATCAATTTAATATTTGTTAAATTATCATAAATTTTTAAGTTTTCATTTTACTTTTCAAAGTATTCAAAAATCATGAAAATTATTACAGATTTTAATTCTTATTGATACACATTTTTTCATACTAACTTGTGTCAGTCACAATGCAACCACAAGCATTTTCAATGAACAATAAAACTAAAAGACAAAGAGAAGTACTCTGCAAGATTTGTATATTTATGTATGGAATAATAAATTGATTTCTCTTTGTAATATAAGCTAACAAAGACATATTCATAAGATAAATAAGAGACTTAACTACTTACAGCTTTATTGTATCATCACAATGAGTATTTGGTACATTGATTGATTTTAATTGTTTATAACCATATTTTCCTCCGTAAACTTAAAATAAAGATTATTTTCCCTTACAAAAACCATTTTTTCTCTTCCGTTTACATCACAGTTCTGTGCATAACCCAATCACGAAGAAATCAATCGATTTTTCAGTTCACTGTTATCAAATAATAAAATATTTTTAACACTTTAATTGTTGTTCAACCACTAATAATACTATAAGCTTGCAATAAGCACACCAGTATTGAAGTACACTTGAATTAATGTTTATTTTGAACTTATAGTTGGAAAAACATATGTATCCATCGACAAGAGCGGCCGCCATCATAACAACTGCCGGAAATTGGCTAATTCTATGCCATCTAGTTGTGAAAATAGATACTTAATTTTTAAGTTTGATATTTATTACAGTTACATAAACAATAACAAAGATAATCAAATAAAGCTATAGTAAGCTCTGCAAAAGAAGCTCATAGCAAGAGTATATTTTACATAACGGAAAAGCACATTCGAAAACGAACTACGCATAAGCTTAAATAGTTTGTGCTAGGTATTTTTATTGACATTTATTTCTCAAGTTAATAATTAAACTAATTACAATTATCGTGTCATTCAATAATTCATGAATAATCTAGATACCAAGTTCGATGGCTTTTGTCAGCTTTTTATTCTAATAATAGATTAAAAACAATGTTCGATGTACATTTTCAATAGCAATAAAAAAGTGACATAATTACATTCGAGCACGTGACATTGAAAGAGCCAGCATAATATATATCTATATCGAATATATACGTCAGGAGAAAAAAAAAACTGCAAACTATGCGAGTACCTGCCGCCTAGTTAGCGCTCGAATCAGTGTCTCTTTTGTTGCGCGTGTACGCGTACGTACACGCGACAATCTTCCAATTCATCTCCTTTCGGAGGTGTTGCTTTGCTGTCTCTCACGCGTATATCCCCACTAAGTGGCTATAAGCCACCGCAATATAGTTTTGACAATTCGACATGTTGTAAGCCAGTTGTACACCAGTGGCGAAGTGCTATAAAGTCCTGGACGACAGCCTCTATAAGTAATTAATCTGTGTCGTGTTTTCACAAAGTTTTCGATTTCTCATAGTTGCATCGTCATATCTGTCGCTTTTTATTTTTTCTGATTTTAGGGACGCACGATTGCGCAAATCCTGGGCAGGGAGGACACCAGCTGACTTAATTTTCTATCATGCGCTATCACTAATATTTCTGGAAAAACCCAAGCGAATGACGATAAACATTCGACAAATATTTTACTGTTTGTGAAGTTATTACTGAACAGTAAGGCACGCCACTGCAGTTTTATACAAGCCATTTGATATTTAACACCTGTGTGCATTTTTTTCTACTTATATCTGACAAGGAGACTGAGATTCAACTTGATCTTAGTTCAAAGTGTAAGAGTCATCGTAGATAAGCATTAAGATTGTTCTTACCTCGTTCATACACAATAGTCATGAGCTGATTATCAATCAAAGAGATTTTATTCAGTGTACCACCAAAAAATATGCTTTTGTCAATCAAGATGATAATGCACTACTATTTTCACTATTCCATTTTTGAATCCAATATACAATAGCACTGTTAGAAGCAACTTCCAGATTTTTCGTCTTATCTCTTAGAATTTTGGTTATGGGTAGAGAATAAAAACATTACATTCAGCAATCAGATGCAAATCATATAAGGTGAGTGAAATCCACCTGGATCTTTCATTATGTCCATAATAATAAATTTCTAGTAGGATGTGACCTCTATTTTATACAACCTTGTGTATATTCAGTCTGATATTTTCAAAATTTTATAAATAATATTATTACAAAGTATGAATCATTTTTGGAGATATGTTGTCTAACTTAAAATTAATATTATTTCAGATATATACAATACAATGTCTTCTGTAAACAGTGTTGAATCTTTGGGAACATTACAGTGGGATATGATTGAATTAGCTGGCCATCTTCGCCAAGAAAGATTATTTGTGAATTCAGAACAATTAAATTTGCAATCTTTGAATGAAAAAGTGAGTTATTGTAATTTTTAGTAATTAATATTGTATTGCACGATGTTTAAAAATAAGAGGTAAGGTTAGAATAGAATTGCTATCAGTACGTCTGCAATGGCATTTGATAAACACGAGATACATTGAAATTATAGAACATTATTATTCCTTAGTGAAACTGAACAAAACTAAATTATTCAATCACGATGATTTTCAAAACATTCAATAAATATATTTCTACAGGTACTTCACTTATCATCAGAATTATCACAACAAGCATGGATTACCGCTCAACAAAGAGTGAATTTAAACAGATTGATAGTGGCCAGGCCAGACTGTACTCCAGCTTCTTGCTGTCAAAGAGCAAATACTTTAGAAAATTCTAGATTTACTGATGCATTTAAGCAATTACGTTACCAATCTTGCATAGCATATGGAGAATTCCTGTCTACTCTTAGATCATTACCAAAACTTCTTGCTTCATGTTTAGTCGAAGGGGACAAAATTGTGCCAGAGATGATGCAAAATGTTGTACAGTCATTGGCAAGTGGATTGTATGGTAGTTGTTTGTTATCAGAGGATAAAATTTTAGTATTAAAACTATTAAGACATTTAATGTTTCTACAAGTTGTTCCGTCAGACAATCCTAGAAGATTATTAAGGCATGGTACCTGTGCTTTCTCAAGATTTTATTCTGTATTTCATGAAAGTCTTTTTTCTGCCAAGTTATTCTTAACTGCTGCTTTGAATGGTCCAATAATGCAATTACTTATGGAAGACGAAATGTTTCTTGATATTGATCCAGATAAAGCACCAATAAGATTCCCTCCCAGCGAAAGATTGAAAAAATTTGGTAAAGAAGGTACTGCAGAGTATCAAACGAAATTACAACGGTATAGGCAGTGGACAGTAAGTATTTTCATTCAAATATACTTATCAACATTCAATAAATAAAAAATATTTTCTATAAATCTTTAATAATTTCAGGTGAGTTCATTAGTGCGCATAACTCAAAGATTTATCATCAGCATCCGCGAGAATATGCACTGCTTTCCGACGTGCGTTTGCTGGTTGGTACGCCAAATGGCTGGATTGCTTAACAAAAACGGCAATGTCGATCCTAAAGAAATTCATGCTATGTGCACTGACCTTGTGTTCACTTACTTCATCTGTCCCGCAATTGTTAATCCAGAACCCTATGGGATCACTGACGCCCCTATCAGTTACGTTGCCCGATTTAATTTGATACAAGTTGGTCAGATTCTGCAGATGCTTTCGTTAATCAAATATCAAAGCCCGGATCCTAAGGTATCCTATCGATTTCATCAATTTTCTGTATTTAAAACGCCTGTAGAAGCCTGTAAAAATAATCAATCTTTTTATTCTATTGCAGACAATGGATCTTTATCGTAAATTCGAGAAAGACTCAGTATCATCCATGTTGGATGTAATATTAGACGGCGCGATGGACGATTTGGAGGAAGAACCAAGCATAATTGACGCAAACAAGTTGCAAGGTCTGTCGAGATCAGCAGCTCTGTTCACGGAAAGCGAGCTTAACAATTTGGTCACGTTCCTACAGTCTGTCAACAGTGTAGCTGCTGCTAACTTAACCTCCAGGGAAGAAGTTGGTAGCAGTAATGACGTTATGCCTCCAGTAGAGGTAGCCTTTGATTATAAGCAACTTGGCGAAATGCTACAGCAATTGCCTTCAAGTGTTTTTAACGCTAGCAAAACAACGAATAACGTTTCGCCTGAAACACCCAACAAGCGGAGTGGTTTACTTGGCAAAGGTACTTTGAAAAATGGAAAAAATACATGTTCACATTAACACAGATAAAGGGATGATCGTATATATTTCATTGATGTCTGTTGATTGCAGTTAATCGAGGACGAGGAATCAGGGTCCACGGAAACAATTCCGTATCTGATGCGGGTGATGACGTAAATGGAGCCTCAGGGCCGGAAGACGATATGTCTGATAAAACTCCGCTGGAAGTTCTGATAATACCTTTTGAGCATGGCACCGGGGAATCTGTTGGACTATTAAGCGAACAAAAAGTATAATTTACATTACGATGGTTTTTAACTATACTTAGTCTATTGACCATTTGACGTACCCCATTATCATTGCAGGTTTTATGCATGCACAATAACATCAGTAATCGATCAATGACAATAAATTTTACTGAAAGATTGAGCAATGATCATAACCGTAGCCGAGAGACTAACGGTGATAGAATAGAGACTCAAGAAAAACGAACTCGCTTTTCTTTATCTCATGATGAAGGTATGTTTTGCATTTGAAATCTACTTACACTTATAGCTCGTAAAATGAAATGACAATTAATTCCAAAACGAAGCATTTATATGCATAAATTAAATAAAGGAAATTTATTTTTAGTACTCTTTGAAGGATCAATCGGCAATACGTCAGATAATTTGGAAGCCGTGTCCGAAGCAGCATCAAATCACAGTGTAGCATCATCGTTAGAAATGGAAAATGAAGATCAAAATGATAATCTCTCAGACATGATCTCTGCAAATGTTTCTGGTCGAGGAACACCAAATATTTCAGGTCGAGATACTCCGTCGTCACAGATAACCGAAGGTGACGAAGGTAGAAATGGCGTGGACAATCGACAGCTTGATCTTACACCGCCAACGATCTCCAATAAACAACAACAGAGTCGATCCGAGATCGATGATAAATTTTGCAAGTTCGAAATCAAAAAGCTTATGGAGGGTGATGAAACGATATCTTTAGTTTCGGACACATGGTCAACGGACGTTTTGGCATCTGACAGTGAATTCGTGGAACAACAAGAACGTTTTTTAGTCTTACCACCCGTGGAACAGCCACCACCACTTATCTCAGAGCCTCCACAGACAAATCATGATGTTAGCGAAACGGCTTCGGAAGCTTGGAGTACTGACGTATTGGCAAGTGATTCTGAGAGAATGACTGAGGTTGATACAGATGACACTGCAAGTGTTGCAAGGTATTTATAGTTTTTTATTTGCGAGCTATTCCAAAAATTGACAATAGTATTAAAAATTATATTTGTTTTATAGATCTGACGACACGGCGAGATCAGAAATCGAAAGTCGCGGAGAACCAGAAGGTGGAGAGGATACACCACCACCAGTTAATCAAAGTAAATGCTATTCTTAATATGATTTACTATTACGAAATGATTCCAAAACCGTTTACTTTTGATTTTTTCAGTATCAGAAAACTCAACGCAATTTTTCCAGCCACGTGACGATGCCTTACCACGTTCAATAGTAACAGTACCGTCCTCGCCAACAACGCCACTTTCTCCATCGAATGTAATTGGTTGCGGTGGGGCCAAATCAGATTACACACGTAGCACAGTGGAGTATGTGGACAATAATGCCAACAGTATTAGCAATGCCTCGTTTGTGAAGTCGACAGTCGAAGACGGATTAGTCCATTTGATTAATAATCTGCAGATTGGGATGAAAACCGCTGGAAACAGACCAGATTCTGATGTAGCCAATGCTGATACAGATGGGTCAGCTTTGCTGTTAGCTAGTCATATGAATGCGCCAGCCTTGATGCTAGCTAATCTTATGAATGAACCAACTGTGACTAGTCAGAAGCTACCTAATGGCGATGTCAAAACAGTACGTTGATTAGATACTGTGAAAGCTTTCAAATGCAAATTCATACGGTTTTCGTAAACTTGAAATTTTTTTAATTTATTTATTGATCAGCCAAGCGAATAAAAACAACCTGTTTTAATTTGAATTACTGATAAATAATATAATTTATTTAAACAGGGACTTGGAGAATTAACGAGCAACGGTGATATAGTAGTACGTCTCAGTACCGCTTCTCTTACCTCGAGCAGCAGTTCAGGTTCAGAGCCTCGAATAGTCAAAACCACCAATCAATCTTCCGAGATAAACTCCCAATTGACAAATAACAGAACAAGCAATTGTAATAGCTCTAACGATGTAGCAGACAGTGCGATCAGTAGTCCGAAACCTTCGAGCTCCACGGGTGCTATACCCAAGAGCATCAGTTTCGATATGACTGCTGAACGCGGTGACAAAGAGATGCTTGATGATGATCAAAAGGGCAAACGTGGTTTTTTCGGTAAATTGAAATTATCGTTGAGAAACCGTAGAGGAAAATCTATTAGACATCCTGAGTACGAGAGAGGACTTTCGGATGCTGGCAACGATGTGAGTACTGGAGAAGGAAGGCACAGGCTGAGGAGAATTATGTCCGAGGATGTTACTTCTACTTGTAGTACAAATAGTGGTAAGTACTTATTCCAAATTTTCAAATATTTTATTTAAAAAAAATTGAATTGAAATTTTTTAAAGAATTCAAACTTTGTACTAAGCTAAGCCGATTAGCTATGTTGAAAGATAGTTTTTAAATAAATTAATTTCAAGGTATCTCACTGATATTGATAGATAAATTGGTTAATAAAAAATTGGACGAAAAGAGTTTAGCATGAAAAGAATTTTTAATGGAATATGCTAAAGAAAGACGTGCTTTGTAATGACAAAAATAAATATACTCAAAAACTTTATTGCAGATACTACGGATGATATATTAGCAAAGTACCGAAGGAAACCGAGTGCCAACAGCGATACAGCATCAGTCGAGAGTACACAATCGCGAACTAAAGAAGTGGAGGATGAGAGGCTTTTTATCGATCCCAACAATGTCGAGATGTCTTTTGCCTTCGCCGATGCCAAGAGGAAACTGCGAATGGTTTTAAGTACCGCGGATCTACAGCACGTTCCATGGACAAACGTCTCCGAGGTGAATTGCTCGAAACGATATTATTCATGAACATTTTATAAAGTGTAGAGTAGTTTCTTTACGAAGATGGAGAAGGATAATGCTTAAATGTTTAAATTAGATGATGTTTTCCGCGCAGCGAAATTCATGGATACAGAAGGAAAATGAATTAGTAGCTTTCTTACAACTTCAATTGGCTGAGGCAATAAATCTACAAGATCGAGCGTTGATCGCTCACCTACATGAGACTCTACGCTGCGTTAGATTATTCAACGAAGATGGTTGTAGAAAACTATTCAAGTCTCTTGGTGAAGATTATCAAAAACGTTCACCTTATATCGCCTACTTGATTAGGTGTCGACAGGGTTTGCTGTCTACTATCGCACATCTGGAAAGGTACGTATTATTTGTAATAAAGTTACTAGAAATCAGATTAACCGGAAAATAACTGGTTTGCAATTATGTTTTACAGACTAGGAGAACGAGTAAAGTGTGATCGCGAAGCTGTGAATAGTCATTTAGTGTTGGTGTGCGTTAGAGTGTTTTTAGAGAAGCGAGAAATGCATCTTCAGAGGTTCATCGAGGAATTCAAAAAATTGACTGTGGCAGACGAGAAACAAGATCTAGTGAACAACTTCTTGAACAGATTGCACACGGAAATGGAAAATGATCCGATCTGGCAAGGTATGCTATTGTTATGTTTAAACTATATTATACTTTGATAAAAACTTGAAGTAATTTTTTTTTCAATTATCGAAATGTAAATAAGAAAATCGATTCGAGTGAAAAAGAATTAAAGCTTATAAAAATAGAAATGTCAATTATCTTGAAAACACATTCTAATGACCGTAACAAAAGAAAATATCTTTGGGTTAATAGTAACAATTAAATCTATTAAATAGTTGCAAGTAACAACCAAATAGATCTGGCAAGAACAATAGTGGAACGAACGTTGATGGCGACAGTCTATCAAAATGCAATGTATCCAAACGGCGACGGTGATCTTCATAGAGACCACGTATTCTACGAGCACATTCGCAAGCTTGCTAAAATCGTCACTCCAAACCACAAAGATTTGCGCATCCCAAAGATCTATCATTACGAGTGTCCTTGGCCGTGGGCGCAAGCGGAATTGACAGTAATTTCCGCTTATAAGACGCCTCGCGATAAGTTGCAGTGTGTTTTCCGTTGTGCTACTACCATCATGAATTTATTATCGATGGCTTCCGAACGTGGAATTCCTGCTGCTGATGATCTTATTCCTGTGCTCGTTTATGTCATCATCAAGGTGAGAAATACTAGTGTATATATGCACTGCCTTTGCGGCTTTAGCTATATAAAATCAAACGGATTTGTCGATTTCACGAAAGATTCGTATTACAATGGCTTTACGATGAGCTTTAGAAACGCTTCATGGAGACCGATGACTGGAGAAATTGAATTTTATTTTTACAGACTAATCCACCGGCGCTTTTGTCCACTATACAATACGTCAACAGCTTCTACGGAAACAGACTCGAAGGCGAGGAGCAGTATTGGTGGACACAATTTTGCTCAGCGATCGAGTTCATCAAGACCATGGAATAATAATATTTTTCATATGCATAATTATGTTTATATACATAATTATAATTAACATTACCAATTATTACCATAGCTATTTTGTGAAAAAGGTCGAAGCACTTGTATTGATGCAAAGTATGATGATCATATTGGAAGGGAGTATTATATTATATTATATATATATATATATATATATGGATAAGCCCCTATTGTTCCCTCAGGCGCACCCATATTTGCCCCTTTTGCCATTTTTTGCTCCTCCTGTTGCCCCTTTTTTTTAATTATGTAATAAAAGTTTAATGCATTCATTACTGATAGTATAAGCGGGATCAAGTAGGTTGGATAGCACCACCAATCTGCTATACAGCAGTCACGTATCATCGACGCCGTTCAGGGATGGTCTTAACATACTGTACTGATGTTAAGACGTTATAATAAATCTAATACCATTCAATTTAGAGTGATAGTACTACTACTACAAAGGTATCCTAATTTCCCGATTAGTAATTTTTATACGATAATTGTTCGGAATTGATGGTTGTTTCAAAAATATATTGATATAATTGTATAATAATGGGAATATGTTTAGAAATTTTAATATTAGTTTATTGAGTATTATCGAAATATATTTTTCAAAAGTATTGAGATCAAAACAGTTCTCTTATACCAGTGCTACTAAAAGTGATAAATAGTAAATAGTAAACCGTGAATTACTAAAACACCAGATTTTGAATATATAGACATAGTGCAATGTTAATTTTTAAATTCATTTTTTACGACAACCGTTTTTTGAGATTCCAACGCCCTCATATGCAAATTTTTTACAAACAATTCGTTTGAATACTTCATTCTTATTAGTTAATTTTCATAAAAGATAAAAGCTCATATTTAGTAGTTTGTGCGGTGTCTTATTAATACTTTGAAACTTAAAATAATAAATAAAAGCATATTCAGATCCATTACTAACCAATATATAATATAATATAAAATTAGTGTTGGTCAGTTTTTGTAATGCTTATTTGTCAAACGGGGGGTTCGCGCGCTAAGCGCGCGGGGGGCAGAGCCCCCTATTATATGTGTGTGTATGTATACACACACACGTACATATATACATATACATATATATAATATGAAAAATTGTTTTTAATACGTTTTAAAAGATATATACAAAATTTTGTAATTTAAAAATTATTTACAGAGAAGAAGAAAAAATGTGTTGTTTTTATTTTATTTGTTTTCTTTGTTTAATGATTCTATAATAATATAATGTTCAAAGTAAATAAAGAATTATTAAAGTAAAAATTAAGTTAAGAAAATCAACCAAACATTCAACGATTCTATACGTATGCGGCGAAAGAAAATAAAAATATGAATATTGTAATTAAATAGTGATATGTAGAAAAGGCAACAGGGAAAGAATTTATGTAATTAAATTTAAAAATAATAGATAAGTTGCAGTTAATTTAATATCAATACTAATGTAATAAATAGCTTGTGCATAGTATTCCTCACGTTGGACAACTGAGAAGAAAAATGGAATTTCTATTCCACACGAAAAATAAATAAAAAAAAGGGTGATTATATTTTCTTGTATAGCCCTTTAATGATCTTACAATATTATAAAAGAAAAAAATTTTAAGCAATAATAAAATAAGAAACAATTTTCTAAAATAAAAGTGGTTTTGTTAAACATTCGATAGGAATCTGTCGGAAGCCCAAAACAATATCTGGCAAAAGCGAAACGTCAAATTTCAACAACGTATAATTAGACTCGATGCTTCGATGTATTTTCGTCCTAGGAAAACTTTTGACTGCTGAGTTTATAAATATTTTATACTGGCATTTACTCGAGGGAAACATACTTTCTCCGCAAATTCAAAGCGTATACACAACAATGAAAATTTCTCTCGCGTGATGAATATGAAAACACCAAGTTAAAAACGTCTCGAGAAAAAGGAGGGAAAAAGATCGCCGGTGTTGATTTTAGATGAGAGGTTTTAGCTGGGCAGCGAACGCATCAACGATGGCTCGAAACTGCATTAACGTTATTGCCTTCATGGACATTCATTTCGCCAGTGGCAAGCAGCGAGTGCTAGCTCGAACATCGATCGAATAGCATCAGCGCCACGGCCTATATATATACTTGCGCTCTCCGAGCGAGAGAAACGAATGCCGCAGGCAATTTTTCGCTGATAATGAGATTTCTCGCACCCTCGAATTTTGAAAGGCGCCCGCTTGCACGTATAAGCACCGCGAGGAACTTTCTCCGCATGTGTCATCGCTAAACTCTTCTTCGCTACCGTTGATCTTCCATGGATGAGAACTAAAAATAAACATTACTCAATCGAGAAAAATACCGAGGTAGATAAAACTCAACAAACCGGCACCAATTGCAGAGATAATCACTCGAGGTTTCAGGCAAGATCAAATTCGTTCGAAGCGAAAAAACGCGAAAGCAGACAGCTGCTGGCATTAAGTGTATCGTGTGCTGCGAGTAAGTGCTCGTAAAATAATAAGAGAATTGGCCAATAAAATCCTCGTGTTTGCAGTGATTGACGTATTGTGTGTAACATAAATGTACTCCTGAAAAAAAATGTATAACACAAAAAGGGCTGGTAAGGCGCGGTTCGCTTTACAGATCCCTGTATCTTGAGTCATCTTCAAAAGTTGATTCGTTTGATTTTGTCTTTTGTTTTGAAATCGATAAGAGTGCCATGTGCTTTATTGAAAGATTCATCATTCGCCATACATAATTGTTGATAATCGCCGAAATATATTGAATGTTAGTATATAAAGGAGCATTCGCTAAGGAAAGAAACAACATATCTTGTGACCTAAAAATGACGATACATTTATTTTCCTTTTCTCATGTATTTTTTTTTTCCAATGAATCAATGCAATCTAGGTCACCAGAAATACAAGAACGTTCTCATGATCATTTTTTATTGTTTTTTTGTATCATCACCATCATTATCACCTCAGCATATCATCTCATCATAATCATCACTATCAACTTTTTTGTTTTTTAAATAATAATTTTAATAGTAATTAATAAGTTATGAGTAATAATAATAGTAATAATAACTAAAAATAATAATTATAGTAATAATAATAAAGGACTATGGAGGAATTCCTGTTCATTAAATTTAATTATATATAATATATATTACATATATATTATGACTGAATCACCGACACAATTGATGTAATTTTTTGTAATCTTTCGGTGTGTTATGTTACTCTGCTTGCTCGCATTCATTTAATTGTTCTTTGTTTTATAATATTTATTATTTTGTTTAAGTAAACGACGTGTTTACAGGCATCCCATCGCAGGACGCTCATAAATTGCACGCGCAAGTCTTTCATCGTTTAAATAATCCGCCTTGCATTCGTCAACTCTGGCATGCCTAGGAAGTACGCAAATCGATTTTTCTATCTTTTTTTCAAACTGTTATGTTTTTATTTTCATGCTCGTGGTTTGTTATTTTGAAATCTATCTTACTTTCGCTCTCTTTCGCTCGCTCACTCTCTCTCTCTCTCTCGTTCAATATTATCCCTTTTTCTCCCTCGCAGTCGCAACGACAGTCGCTCACACGTCCATCGTTCTTCTTTCTCCACTCTTACAATCCGGTTTCGTGATTTTACGAAAAGTGGTGTCGACGTTATTATTTCTTTTGAACTGTGTTGCTTTGATCCGTTACTTATTTTTCCCCTTAAACTTTGTTTAAATACACACGGTTTTAATAATAATAATAATAATCATAATAATAGTAATAATTATAATCTTAATCATTCTCTCATATCGAAGAAAAAACAACGACGCGAAGGAAGCGAACATACGCGATAATCGCGTACCCCTCACTGCTTAGTTTTATTTTCATTTATTTAGAATATTCGAGAAAAACCTTCAATACTTAGGAATGCCGAGGGTTCGATTCTAGATATCTTTGTTTTCCCGTTAACTTTATATACGAAATTACCGCTATCTAAGTTTCGATCGAAGAAGTGAAAGAAACGATTGTTTTTTTAATTATAACAGATACGTGAAGGCAACCGACAGACAAGATTTGCGAGCCGAGTGCTTTTTTACCTTTTGAATTTGCATTAAACTCGAACGAGCTCGATGGAACTATGTATTTGAGACATGGAAACATTTGTTGCTCACCATTAAGAAAAAAAAGACAAGTCGAGATCAAGAATAAATAAGGAGCTTAATCTTTTCGATGTTTTCATGTTTCTTATCGTATTTCTTGTTCATTTTTCTCATTTTAAATTTATATGCATGAAAAAATGCGACGCCTTCATATGCAGCGCAGAAGTTCACATATAAATTATTTGATAGCTCTATCAAACTCCTTCAGGCTTAGCACTGCTGCTCTTCACTTTAAAACTTTTTCTTGTAATAGTTCGTCGATACGATACTTTGTATTTTTTTTACATTTCTCAGCGTGATTTTACTTATATAAATTAAATTACCAGACACTACACACTTTACTTTAGGATATCGTTATGAAATATCGAGCGAATCCGTTTTTTGCGAAAAAAAATTTTATTTATTTTTTTAAATATCCACTTTGTTTTAAAGTTTATTACTCAAGAGATCTTATGTAACCAGCATTACAACATTGCATGTGATATCAGACAAATAAATCGAATGACAAGAGCATTTTACAAAAACGCAAAAATGTCTTCTAATTACTCTAATTGACTGAAATCAATGAGCGTGTGACACAGTAATCGAAAAATTCTTTTTTAGCGTGCATAAAACATCAATCGAAATTTGTTCAACGTTTAAGTTTTTTATTATTTAATATAATTACTTTTGTTTTTGTCGTAATTACAATTTCTTTTTTATCTCTTAAGAGTTCTCTTTTTTTTTACTAGCGTGAGGTGAGAAAAAGAGTAAAAGAGATTTCGAAAAGCTCGTATGTATAGCAATAATAACAGTAATGGGAGGACTTAATCCTAATTTATTTCAATATGCATTATATTTATTTAAAAAATTACACTGCCTTTGAACAAAATTTGATGAATTTGTCACAAATAAGATTTCATCCACCTCTTTGCTTTTTTCTTTACACAACCCGTGTGTTTTTCAAATTTTTTCTATTTTTTTCAATGCTTCGAATATCAATGCCATACTTTTATTTGTTTTTGTTCACTTGACTCTGTAATGAAAGTGACGTATAGTCAGCCTTCAACTGGGAAAGCGCATCAAACTTTATTCAAAGAAACGTGAAGAAAAAATTCTACTATACTATATTTTCTCTTTTTTGTATTTTTTTGTATTTTCATTTAAATAACGATTTCACTTGACACGCCGCTTCCTTTAAGCCTTTCCCCTTTTTGTGATTGTTTCGTCAGAAAAGGTTTGGGTGAATTTTGAAGAATGAGCGAAGTGGAAATCGAATGTGAGTTGGAGTTTTCGGAAAGGAAAGCGAAGAGATGCAGTTTTGTTATTTTTTTTTCATCGTAAAATTGTTGTTTTTTGTTGTTGTTGTTGTTGCGTGCCCTCGTGCGATACACATAGACATCGAATTGAATTTGTTGCTTGAAAAGTTTTCTATTTTCTTGTTTCCGTAAAATGGTTTGCAAATAAAAGCATTTACTAATCACGGCGCATTGTCGCATTAACAGGTGCGCGCGCGCTCGCGCGCACTTGCCAATGAAAAAAATGGCTGATTATATGTGTGTATATATATATATATTTAAACTGTTGCTTCAATATTATTTTGCTTTGTTTTGTTAAACGATTACTTATTTTTTTGTTTTGCTGGTAGACTCTGAATTAAATAATCATAATTGCCCTTATTACTTATCGTAAAAACGACGATTAATACATGTCGAACGGGACATTAACATCTCGTGTCTCAAGATTCCTTTGCATCCTGATACCAAAGACTTATTTCTTTATCTTTTTTATTCCTTTTGTTATTTCACTTTTTTGGTTGAGACGTTTTGCAATGGTATTTTTTGTATACTTTTTTTTGTTTGTTTTTAAAATCGCTTGATTTCCTTCATGTATATATTTTTTTGTTTATAAGTTTAAATCTTTAGTACGTCAACACCACTCTAAGTCGCGAGTTTTCCCAAGCACAACAGTTGATTCACTTTGATGTCATCATTGTGACGAATTCTGCAACAGAGAACATGAAAAGGCTTGGGTGAGTCATGTAACTCGACGATTATTGAAGTTAAGCTAGCCGCGCGCCGCTGACAGGAGAATTGCGCAAGAGTAATCATGCGTGGCGTACCTTCGTAATTAACCTGGCCATCGCCGTCGATATCCGCCTCCCGGATCATTTCGTCGACCTCCTCGTCGGTGAGCTTCTCGCCGAGATTTGTCATGACGTGTCTGAGCTCGGCCGCCGAGATGAAGCCATTGCCGTCCTTGTCGAACACCCCTGAAGGCCTCCCTGATCTCCTCCTCGCTGTCCGTATCCTTCATTTTGCGCGCCATCATGGTCAAGAACTCGGGGAAGTCGATTGTGCCGTTGCCTGCACGTACACGTGTAAGCAGAGCGCAGCGGCGCCATTAATGCAAAGTTATTCATCGGCTAATTTCGACGATCGATAGAAATCGGTCGCGGGCAGAATGAATAATGAACGAGCACCAACCGTCAGCGTCGACCTCGTTGATCATATCCTGGAGCTCGGCCTCTGTGGGGTTCTGTCCTAGGGATCTCATGACGGTGCCGAGCTCCTTGGTGGTGATGGTGCCGTCGCCGTCCTTGTCGAACAGCGAGAAGGCCTCCTTGAACTCGGCGATCTGCTCTTCCGTCAGCTGGTCAGCCTGCAAGCAAGGAGCAATGTCGCAAGAAGCGCCGCAGACGTGGAGGCCTCGCTAGGTCATTCGATCTCGTTTGGTTTGAGGTGCGCGCAACCACTTGGCCAATTGAATAAACTCGCCTGGCTGCTCTCGCAGGTATTTGCAAGCGCAAGCCTTTTCAACTCGTTCGAGCCCATTGCCGCGCTCGCCTGCGCTCATTTAATTACGCGCTCGCGCTCTCGCCGCCTCGCGCGAGAGCCTGCCCAGCGACGAGCAGCCGCGCCAGCGGGACGCGAAAAAGCGCATTTCTGCCTTTTGTGCGGCCGACGCCAGCGAGCGAGGGAAGAAAGACGCGACCTAGAAAATCTCTCCAGCCAGACAAGCGCCCCGATATCGATCGGTCCAGAGCAGCCACCGCCGCTCTCTCTCTCTCTCTCTCGTCTCTCTCTCTCTCTCTCTCTCTCTCTCGCTCCTCTCTCTCTCTCTCTCTCGCTCTCTCTCTCTCTCTCTCTCTCTCTCTCAGTTCGCCACTTTTCTCGCGCGCCAGCCGGGAGAGCAAAAAAATGAAAAAAACAACTGCCTCGCATCCGCCGAGCAGATAACGGGCTACAAGCTCGACGCTGGCGCGCATCAATATGCGTCGCTTTCTTTTGTTCTGGCTTCGTGCGTCAGCTGATCAGAAAAGAGACAGAATGAGTGAGTGCGCGTGAGAGAGAGAGAGAGAGAGAGAGAGAGGAGGAGAGAGAGAGAGAAGAGGAGAGAGAGAGAGAGAGAGAACAATCACGTCTGACATAATTCGCGGCGATAACGAGTCGCTCCTGCGAGCGGCGCCGTATCGTCCGAACCCGGCGGGTAATCGATGCGCGCTAATTCGCTCGGGAGAGGGTCGACAGGGCACAGGACGCGCGTGCTGCGTTGCCCTCGCCAGTATGGATTTAGGGTGGGGTTATCGCGTCAAACGCTGAAACCCGCGCGAATCGTCGCGATGCTCGCTAACCAAGTCGGGCCGACAGTTGTGTGTAGTCGGAAGGGGTGCCCGTCCAAATCAATTGCGGATGCTCGACAAACTATCCCACTCCCGAGTGGCTGGCAAATCGTCCGTCGAGCGTGCTCCACGCGCACCGTGCGTCGAGCTGAACGTCGCCCGTTTCTCGCGCACTTCGACTTTTTCCTCAGCGGACCAGGGATCGCGAGATAAAGCGTGTCGGTGTACAACGTGCGATCACCATCGACGCGGAGAGGTGCATCGAGTGAAGAAAGGCTCTCGAGCGGCAAGTAATGACGCTTATTCGACTAATGGAGGGTGAATGGAACTTTGTTGTCCGCGTCCGGGGCACGAGAGTATTATCCTCAACTTTTTCCAAGTACACTGATCGCACTCCCACAGCTAATGGAAACACGTATTGTTGTAACTTCAAAGTGACAATGATTTTCTCTCTGCTCCACGTGAGGGTTGTTACAATATCCGAGCGAATTTATCTCGGTTG